CCCTGGGGAGGGGAGTCACAGGCTCCAGATGCCCAGTCCCTCAGAGTCCTGCTGGGGAGCCGAGGGGCTGGTGGCAGATGGCTCGAAGCTCTCATCAGACAATCCCCTTCATCTTACCACTCCCCCCCCCCCCCCCCCCCCCCGCAGGCTGGCTCCCCTGGCTTTGGCAGCAACTGTTCCATACAGCCAGGGTGAAGGGCACCAAACTCGCATCAATGTGCCCTCCACTCGCCTCCTGGGAGCTTCCTGCCTGGGCAGAGGGAGAATCAGAAGCACCACCCCTTTAGGAACCACAAGCTAGTCTGAAAGCTCTGGGAGGGCGCCACCTGGAGTTCAAAGACAGCATTGCCGGGAAAAGGGGAGAATTTGAGCTGTTACCTACCAGGATGACAGCACCTGGAGGGAGGGAGGCAGGGGATCGCAGGGAAGGAGGGAGTAGGAGAAGGGGAGCAGGACGGGAGGAGAGGAAGGGGGGAGGGGAAGACCTGCACAACCATATATCTAACAGATTTATTTTCTTTTCAGACCTAAAAACCTTCAATATTCTCCCCTCCCCCGCAAAGCAGTTTGGGTTCAGTGAGGTCACGTTGAGGAGTTTATCAGCCCTCACTGAAATGGGTCATCAGGAAAAGGTTCATGCCTCAGGGGTGGTTTATGCTGGGGTTTGAGCGCCTCCCCTTTGTGGCTCTGGATTCACTCTGCCTTGTAGGTAAGGCTAAGTGCCCAGGGAGTAGAAGCGGACAAGGACCAGGGCCTTGAGCAGCCCCAAGATCTGGTGCAGCTTCATTCCATGCTCAGGTCTACAGGGATGATTCCTTTACATGGGCATTTTAAATCACTGCAAACCCACAGGCCATAATGAGTGGCTTTATGGTGCTGACTGCAGCTGTTTCCCTCCTAGTGGTTTACAAAGGCAACAATCCCAGCTGCCAGGGAAGGCGGGAGGGGAGGATTTGCCACAGGGGAGAGTGGAGGCGGGGGAGCAGGCCGCACCTTTGGACTGGTAATCATCCTAATGCAGTGGTCGGCAAACTCATTAGTCAACAGAGCCAAATATCAACAGTACTTCTTCGAAATAGACTCACCCAGGCCGAAAATCGACTTCTGCGCATGGGCCACGAAGTTTCAATCGCACTGTACGCGCTCCCGCACGTGGTATTTTGTGTAAGAGCCACACTCAAGGGGCCAAAGAGCCGCATGTGGCTCGAGAGCCGCAGTTTGCCGACCACGGTCCTAATGGATCCCTCCTGCCTTTTCTTAATGCAGTGGTTCTCAACCTTCCTAATGCCGCGACCCTTTAATACAGTTCCTCATGTTGTGGTGACCCCCAACCATAAAATTATTTTCGTTGCTACTTCATAACTGTAATTTTGCTACTGTTATGAATCGTAATGTAAATATCTGATATGCAGGATGTATTTTCATTGTTACAAATTGAACATAATTAAAGCATAGTGATTAATCACAAAAACAATATGTAATTATATATGTGTTTTCCGATGGTCTTAGGCGACCCCTGTGAAAGGGTCGTTCGACCCCCAAAGGGGTCGCGACCCACAGGTTGAGAACCGCTGTCTTAATGGGACAGAAGCCCTGGTCTGCCTGTTAACTACTAAACAGGTGTTCCGGAACTCACAGGCCTTTCCCCAGAGAGCAGGGGGGCCTGGGAATGGCCTGCTGTGGGGTGGGGGTGGCACTGGGCTGACATGGTGACGAGTCAGTGACAGGCTGGCAGCCAGAGCAACAGCTCCTCACAGCACAGGGGCTTCTGAGGTGCCGCTGGGGCGGCAGCATGTCCCCTGACTGATGATGCTCAGCAGAGTGCCCGGCACTGGCCCTGGTCACCTCACCCTTCCTCCCCTACCAGCAACTGAAGTCACTGCTCAGGAGAGCTGTCCCCAGCCCATTCTGTGGGGAAGCAGAGAGCTGAGGCATAGCCTTTCTGCCTGGGCTGTTGGGAAGCTCAAAGGTGAATGTTACAGATGAAGTGAGGAGACTGAACTGGCTTCCCCCGGCAGCACCATCACACTGGGTTCTACGTGAATGGCGTCCCCTTCCCTCTGTTGTACCACAGAGCCCCTCCCATCAAGGCCCTTGTGGGCTGAACTGGGAGGACACTTGAGTCCTTATGTTACAGAAACTTTCGGCATCATGTGTCCTGTTGGCTACTGTCCCCCAAACTTTCTGTCCCTTTAGCTTCGGGGGCACTGTACCCAACCGCTCTGACAGTCGTGTCTTCCCCTTCTCTGGCGCCTAATTGCTCATTGGCCCCTGGTAGGTGATTGCTCAATCGATCACTCTTCTCTGGGCCTAATTCCCCAGCACCCGAGCTCCAGCCCAGATACTCCCCTAGGGTGTCCCTTGGGTACTTCAGCATCTCCATACCCCTCAACCTGCTCCTCCATGAGGTGTACCAGGTGTCCAGGATGGAGGTCTCTTGTCTCTCCCTCATCCCCACATGCATGTCACCAAGTCCGGCCAGCTGTGTCTTCTCAATACTTGAACCTGATCCTCCTCTTTCCCAATACTCATGGCCCTAGTTCAAGACTCTTATTCCCATGCTGTCACCACAGCCCCCAGAGCAAGCCTTCATGAGTATGACCAGGCCATTCCCCTCAGGGAAATCCCCTTCAGTAGCTCCTACTGCCCTTAAGAGAGTGGCCACCTCCCTTGCCTGGCACCCAGGCCCTGGACGCGCTCCCTTCTAACCTCATTTGCTGCCACTTCCACCAGACCTGACCCCTGACTTGTCCTCCCCTGCATACCTGTGTGCTTCCCACCACTATTCACGCTCTCCCCTCCTCCTGGAATGCCCTTCCCAGAGCTCTGCCACAGTCTGCCCTAACTGACCCCTTCCTCACCTCATCCAAAACTGGGCTAT